TATCTGAAAGTTGTAACTAACTCGGAGCCTCAGCTATCTGAAAGTTGTAACTAACTCGGAGCCTCAGCTCTCTGAAAGTTCTACATAATTGCAGATTTCTCACTATTATTTACCAAATCTTCATATCAAATCGGGTATGAAGATAGGAGAGAAATCTAAGGGTCTATTAAGTTAAAGTGACCTCTACCCCGGAAAATAGATATACACCTCTTTTACGTCGGCTTCTTTTCACATCTGATATTTAGCATTACTAAGATATGGAAGCTTAAAAAACATACTTAAAGCAAGATCAAACATCTGTGAGTAGTTTCATACTTGTGTTCTTACGATTTCTTGCACAAACCTTATCAAATATATATTCGTTTTCAAGTAAAATCCTTTCTAATTTTGTCCTCTAAACATGTTTTTTCTCTCTCTCTCTCAAATTACAGAAATACCAGCCCCTGGTGGCACTGGAGGAAACTGAATGATATAAAAGTATGTCACGGCAACCTTAAAAATGCAATATTATTTATCTATTTTAAATATCAACGCAACAGCATAGAAATCATACGCATATCTCTGGGTAAAACCCACGACCTGTGAAAACCGTTTAACCATTTGATTCGAAGATTTGTGTCATTGCTGCTAACATTTTTTTTCCACACACACACACTAGTGGCCTTCAAGATTTCCACAATTAGTGGAATAATTCATCATTGAAATTCTTAGAAAACGGTAGTTACGCCTGATTGGAATTCCCTCCGTTAGGTGGCAGTGAAATCGGACCGGAAACAAACCAAAGACTGTGCCTCACGCAGTGATAAGAAACCGGAAGTTCCGCTGTTACAACAGCCTTTAGTGACTGTAAACTTCCGAACAAGTCCATCGAGGATGTTGGAAAAAAACGTTCACTTTTATTTTACATCCATAACTAAACAGACATGCAATGTTCACACCATACTGTAAATTCTGATACAAAGTAAACGATACTCAAAGTTAACATATTTACCAATTAATTTAAAACTTGTTTATTGTCGGACATACAGAGTATAATACTTATGGTTACACAACGTTTCGTCATTTTAACCTGGCATCATCAGGTACAACAACTACAAGCTAGTCAACACCACCCACCGCCAACTTTTGGGCTACGTTTCTTTACCAACGAAAACTGGGATTGACCGTCACATTATAACGCTCCCACGTCTGAATGGACGAGCGCGCTCGATTATGTGAATTCGAACCCGCGACCTGCAGAATGCGAGTCTAGCGCCCTAACAACCAAGGCACTTATCTTGTAAATAGAATAATGTAATTAAATAATATCCTAAGTGAAGCCCACTAACCTAGGATGAGTTTACAAAACTTCGGTGTTCCGGGAAGCCCTGGGAATGATTTGGAATCGTGATGTAAGATTTCTTGTAAAGCATGGAATTCAATCTCGACAATCCAGTTGTGATCACAATCTTCTTGTCATCATATTACATCCATAACTAACAAAAACTCAGTACAAACTGGTACGATACAAAAGGAAACCTTACCTTCTCTTGCCGTTCCCAACTTTGTCAATTTCCACGTGGTAAAAGCCCCGGATGGGAGACATTGTTCGAAGTTAAACTCCTTGGTAGGAAGTCAACCCTGCATGACAGGGATTGACAGAAGCTCGTTTTAGTTGGTATACCACAATTATCTAAATCTCAACAATGCAAGGTATTGAAAAACATTTTCCGCGTCATTCTTTAAGATTAAATATTTATCATCGGGAATTTAATTAGAATAACAATAAGGCACGAACTGGTGAAAAACGTTAAGTATCTTGTTGCGCAACCTTCCTGCCATTCTTCAGAGCAAACCACCATGAAAGAAGAAGCAATGACATAACGACAAAACCGACCCAAAAAACGCTGCAGCTCTTTCACAGAACACAACATGTAATTTTACGACTTTTTCATAGCACTCAAGCGTTTTTAATTAATTTTATTTTTTTTTGTAAGATGAAAGAAGAGATGACATCAGCTCTCTAATTAACATGTTCATTAGATATGGATGGTAGACAACAGCTATACAAAGTATTTCTGTTATTTAACCGTAACTTGTTCTGTGTGGATGAATGTTTAACTCAATCCCTTTATCAAATTTGTTGTTGCTGAGAAGAATGGTGTAAAGTCTACAGGAAAACTGCAAAACCCAAATTAAACAAGATTGCCTTTCTTAATTCTACAAATCAATAACATAAGTATATTTATCTTCACCCGTTAACATTAACTGATTGATAATGACTTAACCGTATTTCATTTGCTCACTGCAATTGTTATAAATAACCTAACATTTAAACCTTTTTTTTTTTTACTAACTTACATATTTAACACAAAATTATCACAGCTATATTCAAGTATGTAGTGATCTGGAGTGGAAAAAACATGCGATTTTCCAGATTATTCTTTTTTATTTCCTTACGTACCAATTCTTGGACGAAATGCAGTAAAAAACAAACTACTTCATCAATAATTTTAACTCAGTAACGGGTATTGCGATGGTGAAACGAAAAACGTGATTAAAATTGTAGACAATCTTACAAGTTTAATTGCACGAGAAGTTAACGAAGATTATTTAAAAGCGAAACAGTGATACCAGCTTTAAAACTGACAAGCATCAAACTTTAAAATACCTGGAACAGCGTTTCGAAAAGTCCACTTCACTTGAGACCTGTTTAATCGAAGTTCTAGACGTTTCGGTCGTTGTTGTTACTACAATACAGAACCCAGTGAGGAGACAACTGGCTTCAGAAACCTTACAAAGTCTGATCTTTGCCAAGGTTTACCGTGTACGACTTCAAAAGGATTTTGCTGGTCTACTTATAACTGTCCTTTCCTCCACTTCGCGAAAGTCAGACGAAGAAAGATACTTGGGCTAATACACAGCTGTATATATGTACGCTATTAGGCTTCCGCACTAACCAAATCCTCCACAAACAACCTGTCTGCTAGTCAGCTGATAGAGAGCCAACCAGCGCTGTTCCTATTGGTTCGTGCTGGGCAAGATTAACTCGCGTGCTCCTCGTGCCACTAGATTACAGTTCCACAAGCCGGTTTCGACTGTAGATTGTTAAGAGTGAGCCCCCTTTAAACACAACGCATCAATGCGCACGAAAAGTCCTTGATAACAGGTAAAAGGGGCTGGGCCTGAAAATTCGCAATGAGCATTATTTCAATTCAGATACCCGTGTCATGTAGCCTCGAATCAAACAGACAGTGTATCGACAATTGGATGAAAAAAAAAAACTTGCATGCTCATATGGACAAAAGGATTACACAGTCACTAACACGTAAAACCTACACAAAAACTACACGACTGTGCCATCCCCACTAGGTGTCCGTTTTATCAGTAGGATATATCGGACTAGCGCCGATATAAGGAAGAATCACTTTGTTGTCTGTAGGCCGTTTTTTGTTGTTGTAGCTGATAAAGTAGCCATATTTTTTGCTTGTTGTTGTAATGCTCACTGCTCGATGGCAAAACTAGCCGTTGTTACACAACTCTTACGATGGTCATATACCATTCTACAAAAATCATCAGTTTTAAATATTCGGAATACTGATCTTGTTAAAATAGTTCAGTAACGTGTCTTTCAAAATTAACGAGTTTTAGTTAAAAAAAGAAAAAAAAAACGGGGAAATTGTACAATAAGTGTGGAATGGTCTAGAAAGGCGAGAGCGACTTTAAGAATTTAAAAATCCTTTCTGGTCGTGGAGAAATAGACGAAAACGATCGGCTACCTCCAAACTTCCCAGAAAATCAAAGGAAAGATTCAGAATGGTTTGATTTTAGCAAATATTAGGGTTATTTGAGTTCTAATGATGTTATTGATCAGTTTCAATGTATAATTAGTGAGAATAAACATGTTTCTAGTTTTCTTCTAGTACGTCTTCAATCTCAATGTCCAAATCTTGTAACGAAACACACGCTTCAGCACACATTTACAAGAGAACATCTTGTTCTGCATCTTCCTTCTCTTCTTTACTGGCTTTTGGATCTTTTGTACTACTACACGTCTACTTTGGTAGATAACATGTCAATGTTTTACTGCATATGTAGCTGGAGGATCACAATGTAAACACATTTGGCTTTTGGATCTTTTGTACTAACTCCACGTCT